AGGTAACACTTTAATTTTTGCCTTATTATTATGAAAGTCGAATGAGAAACAATGCTGAGCATATTTTTGAGTCCGTAAGAGTAGTAAAGGTTTTTTACGAGACGTTTTTCAAAATTTATACCTTAAATGCGGTACTTTTAGTTCTATCTAACGTTTAATTTTGATCATACTACAAATATGTTGAATCGTAAGAATTAACAAATAAGTTCTTAAAATCATTGTAACAAATCACTTAGTTGAAGAATAAATTTCAGCGTTCTTTCAAAGTTTTATATGGTTTATGCTTTAAACAAAAAAAAGTAAATAAATGTGCGCATATGATTTCACTAGTCGATACCGGTATCATATTCAGGGAAATTTGAAATTTCTAGAGATTTTAATATTGATCACTTTCGATATAAAATTTTTATATTTTGGTCGCTGCTATTAAACGGATATTGATCAAATTAATTCGTTGTATGTATTTTTCAAGAAATTCGAGTCGAATTTTATCAAAATAATAAGTCATAGTCTATAATTAGTCCTTATAATGCTAAAATAAATTCCATATATATATTCTTCTTGAAAACTTGCTGCAGGTGTCGGAAAGAATTAAAACTAGAGTTTCAGTGTCGAGTAATGGTGTATGATAAAGTTGATCAGAAAGTTGGAATAAACCACTATTACACTTACCTTGGCTGATAATTTTACATGAAATATATTGACCTAATCATTTTGATATTAAATTATCCAATATTCAATTTTACTTTCGAAAAAACAAACATTCGTATATATTATGCCTCTATTTATTTCGCATTAAAAAGCACAATTCATTCTTCTTGCAAAGAACGCAATAGAATCATGTTTTTGTCGAATATTGAATGATTAGATAGAAAAATAATAAGATCAACAATTTCTGGCAACTCTCAGTGAATTTTGAAATGTTCAACAAACTATGTAAAATTAGGTCTCCCCGATACATTCGCCAGAACTTTAAAAAAATTATTACATAAAATAATAGTAACAATCGTTTATATGAATTTTCTGATTGACTTCTTCGTATATCATTCTTTAACGGTGTAAATCAGTAGGCAGTATAAAAATAGATGAAAATCCTTTAAATTCCTTCAAAGTTCTGTTACTGGATTTCAAGAGGATTCTAAAGATTTAGTTGAGTTCAAAATTAGAATGGATAATTAAAGCTGTGGTTAATTATTGCAATAAAGATTTGGCTTGAATCTCTTACAAAACACATAAAACTGCAAACTCTATAAGTTTCAGTGAATTTGCATGAGGTGATAGGATTAACTGGCAAAATTTCGATAAATACATTTTAAAACATCTATCCAAAACTTAAGACAAGATGATTTGTTTTTCGTTAAATTGTAACTCATTTAATGCAAGCATTATTTTCTTTGTCATTATCAACTTTGAAAAAACTGTTGTTCGAAACATGACGTACTTAAGCTATATTATTAGTTTATCATCTTATTTATTTTCGTCTCTTTATCTATGTCGTTGATCTGCTAGTAGTTTTATTTCTTTTTTAATGTTCACTTGATAAAGAAAACAAATTTTCGGAACTTAATACTGATAAATTTTAATCTACAAAGAAGAATTAATTGGTTTTCCTGAAATCTACTTCAAACTATTATTTCATTAAAATTAAGATGATGTTTCGTTGCTACGAATCGTAGAAGATTGTTCTCGCAGAACGCTAAACTCAACGCAATTCTAAAGATACACAATTTAACTACATATGTATATACCTGTCATCATAAAGTAAGTTTACAAGTCTCAAATAAAGCAAAGCTAGGACTTGTACTTTTAAAATTGCATGTTTCGAAGTGAAGTCTCTCTATAGAAATGAAAACTCTTATTACCTGTTTTATTCACCTGTGTACTTTTAAAGAAATTATGAAATAAAACTTTTTCTAGAAATAAGTCGTTATTGGATTTATTTTTTTTTCTTTTCCTTCAGAGAGCGAAAAACAAAAAGTCAATTTTCTCTTCTATGCATGGAGCTGTTTTGAAAATGTAAATATAAATACAATAATAAGGCTCTTCAGTCATTCAACGGTAGATCGAGAAATTTCTTTGTGCACCAGCAAAGTTTTCATGTCATTTCGGATCATATCTTCCCGGTGAAAAGTGCGTAAACATGTTAAATCTGACTGTCACCATGATAAATGTAGCATCGAGCGTCTTTTAGCTTCCATTAGATGCGTCAGATCTCAGCTCGTAATATTTTCGCTATTATGCTTTCATAAACGAGGATATTGCGTGCGATGTGACTATGACGTCAAAAAATCGATTTTAGGAACTTTTCTCGTTACTCACATTACAGTGTTAATAAGATATTAAAAAAAAACTTGATGTATTAAAATTGAAGTTTGAAAGATTTTCGTTCTCTATCAACAAGTATTTTGTTGAAAGCAACGACTTAAAAAAAGTGCATTTGGCATCAGTCGAATTTTTAAGAATTACACAAAAAAACTAATTTTACCTGAAAGATACAACCTGTTTATTCAAGTTTAGATTACTCAACAATTAAAAGAAACGAATTCTCGAAATGAAATATGACTTCGTTTCAAAGAAAGCAAACTTTAAATGAATACACCTTGATTATACAAGAATGACTGGTAAGACCATAGTGGACAGTATTCTTTTGTCTTATTCTGATTAGATGAGACATTCTTACATTTCTCTGTATTCAAGTGAGCATATGAAAGAAGAAAATAAAAAGATTACAAAGAAAACAAAAATAGTAGTAAGCAATCGATAAGCATTCAGTTAAAATAAAAACAATAATCAACGATAAACATAGAATAAGAATGTGAAAGCAGTTAACTTAGAACAAACAACATGAACATGATACGTTGTGCACAACAAATCATAAAGTAAAAAGACATGTAATTTAACTTGATAACTAGAGAATAATAATACTTAAACGATCTATTGCATTATTTTCTCTTCCACCAACAATAGTTAAATGCATAGTTTTATTTTGAATAGTTTTCGTAGATGTTTTTCTTTTATTTCTTTTTCTTTCAATCTTTTGATTGTGTTCTCTTTTTAAAAAGTACGAAATAAAAGCAATTGATTTTACGTCTATGTTGCCGATCAATGTTTAGAGAAGAGTCAGTCAATAAAACGGATCAATTCTAGGCCAAAAATAACATCTGCGTAAATAATATAAACACTGGTCGGCATGGCCGCGCGTTGCGGAATTTCGTTTTTTCGTATTGCGACACCTGTAGCTTCTGAAAAATAAAAGCAAACTTACTGAAATTTTTGTCATTGGTAGAGATGGCTAAGATCTATTGCCAGTAAAAATTTCATCTATTTCTGTCTAGCCATAGCTGAGTTATTCAACAAATATTGACCGTTACGGAATTTCAAAAAAATGGAAAGTTTTTTTAGGGTGACCTGGGGGATCGGCATTTTACTACATAACAAAGCGACATACAAATAAACGCTCTATATAAATATTATTCAGTTTTCCATGAGCTTTCAAAATATCAATTCATTTCCTAGAAAGCATAACTGCACCAAATAAAAAACCTGTAAATACTGTCCGTTACGGAATTTCGCTATTTTTGGAATTTCTAATGGAGATGGTTAAGGACCTCAAAGCTTTCAGTTATCACGATGAAAACCCATCATTTTTCGTATCCGCGAACAGTACAGAGATAGTTCTGTCATGCAAGTATGTCAGTTTCACCTTCAAAGTAGAAGGACATTAAAATTCTGCCTGCTTTTTGGGCAAAAAATGAAATATAATGGGTCTCAAAACGGATTGTTTTTTGATGAAATTCGTCAAAAAATCCTTTTTCAGCCACTTATCGGAGGAAAAATACGGTTTATATAACTAATCAACAATGTATCTCAGAGATTGCAACGTGTTTCATAATCTGTCAGTAGTGAACTTTTGGATTTGGAGAGAGTTTTCTTTATTTTTAGTGCCTATAAACCTTCCCCATGCCGGGATGACGGATGCGCGGCCATGCCGTGATACAAATTAATTCAACAGTCTTTGTCGCGTACCTCAATATTTGATAGGAGAAAAAAGTTATGGTTGTCGACTATTTGATCTTGGGCTCCTTGGTAGGTAGTAGCGCGTACATGTGAGTTTATGTGTATGGCATTAGCTGTGGGTGTTGGTGTGTGGGGGGGATGGGGATGGGAATGGCTCATTGCAAGTATGGTTATCGGTGTGGGTGTTGGTGTCGATGTCATATGAGATGGAATTACTATACGTATCTATTTTTTGCATGCGATGAATTGAGAGATTCGTGTTCGAAGTAGAGTGTGGGTGTAGGTGTGTGGGTTTGGGTGTAGATGAATATAAAACTCACACCCCGCACCTCACACTCAGGGGGGAAAAAGCGATGCCTGGCGGATCCTGGGATCCATCAGGATCCACGAGGATCCAGTGGGATCCATCAGAATCTGTAGGATCTATTGGAATCCAATAGAATGTATCAAAGTCTACTAATATTTATGAGTATAAATTTTGTTTTAAACAATATATACAAATAAAACATATCAGCTAGATTCATATTATTAGCATATATATATAAATCATGCACTAGAAAAATTGTATTAGTTATTACGTAATGCATTCATAACTCTGACTTATGTATTTTATATTTTCCAATGCCCGATCACTTAGAAGAAAAATTATCACTTTTTGGCATGTGGGAAAAGAACCATCGATACATTCAGTCGTGCATATTGCTACATGCCTGTCCATGAACATCAGTAATTTTGAAAAGACTCTATGAGTTCTTTAATATATAGATGAGATTAGCAGAGAGAATACTATCTTATGTTTTTTCTACAGTAATTTTTGTCTGGTTATTCACCAGTTCTTGGTATTGAATTGAAAGTTTCAAATAATTTACTAAGTGGTCTATGTCCTGTGGCAAATCGTCTAGAAATGTAAGTCTACTATTATTAAGTGCATTTTATTCGAATATATAGATATAATTAAACAAAAAAAATGCAATCGAAACTAATTATTTCTGTTTATTTGTTTGTTGAACTCGTGATAATCTATCAGATGACAAACAGTTTTTATTAGTAGTCAATAGACGTGCAGCTGTTTGTTTGTGTAAATATTTTGATTTATTATTAATCATAATACGAAAATAATTATCCTGTTTTGATGGATCAATTTTATCAAATATTTTCATCCCTTGGAAGGCTTCTTTTGAGGTTGTAAAATGATAATCATCAGAATTATCTTCATCTGAATCATAGCAATCAACCTCTAAATTTGTTTCAGAATTTTCAATATCATTTTGAATATTATTAGTATCATCTGAACTATCTTGAAGTTCAGCTTCATTGAAATAGCAAAAATCAACTGTCGATTTTAGATCAAGTTGATGAAAGACAAATAAATTTAATTTTGTAATATTTAAATTATTTTCTTTTAGTTTTTTTAATAACTGTAAAGAATCCATAATGTTTTCTGCTTGATAGTAAGCTTTGATGATTATCTTTTCTATATTATCTATTGTTATCGATGATGAATTTAAACTAATTTTAGACGAGGTTCTTTCTTTGTGTCGATTTTTATGGTGAATTCGAAATTTTAATGGATATTCAACATTATCCGCTTCTTCTGTGGATTTTACATGATTTAATATTGAAATTTTTTCAATTTCGTTTAAAAACTGAGATACTGAAAAATTTGTGATTGACGAAAAAGTACCAAATAAAGCACGAGCACCATGAAATGTAGTCTCGCATGGATGACTACTAAATAGATATGTATTAAGAGCATAAGATGGTAAATTTCCTTGTGATATTAATACTATTAATGCTGTTAAACAATGTACATTAATCTCTACTGATAACCATGCAGCTTTAGTAATAAAACAATTATCTTTTTCTTGTTGAGAATAATTTTCTTTAAGTTGAAGACTAGACCTAGCAATCAATAGTGAAATGATTAAAAACGTAATAGAAAAATCCTTTTTCTTTTACAACCACATTCGATATGAAAATGTAACAATCCAACCGTAATATAAGCGTACGAGGATATCAGTATCTGCTTTAATATATGTAACAATAACTAATTTTGACAAGTATAAGTAAATATAAGTGCCTTTAGCATTCATTTCTTTCAATAAATTCAACACGTTGTCAGGCGTTATTTTCAAACAAGAAGAAAAGTCTTGTCTATCATGAGGAATAACATCCGACTTGACTAAATAATGATCAATTTTGGAATAATTTTCAATTATATAAAATAAATCATTTACATGGATCTGATGACTATTAATAGACAATGTTGCAATAGTTGATAAAAGCCGGTTTCTAATCTTTGCAGCAAGATGGATCCCATCTTGCATGCAAAGATACATTTGCCTTGTTCTCATAAAAAAAAAGTCCATGTTGGTGGAATATTAATGTGAAATAAATTTTTATTTTCACTTAGTAAATCAATATTTGGTGTGTGTGTAAAAAAGTCTAATGATATTTGCATAGCTTTAAGATAGCGTGCTTCACAATCACTTGCAAAACCGACAACAATAATATTTCTTTTTTTGCATTCATTATACATATATATCCATTTACGAAGAACATCTATACCTATATATTTATTATTAGTTTCGTAAGCGGAAATGATATATGGTCTCGAATGTATTGAAGAAGAATTATTAGTTAATAATGGTTCAACTAAATTTGCATTTATTAATGTAGATTTGTCAAAATCTTCGAACCATTGTTGTAACTCATTATAATTATTTGTTTGAAATTGATTTATAATAGGTAAACCATTTACCAATTGTGGTGAAAAACCACTATATGAATTAGTTTTAGTATCGTAAGATACTGAACTCACAACACTAGTTGGATCTTCACACTACATAAAGAAAATACGTAATTAAATCTTATAATTAATATTTATAGAAGAAATAAATCTCAATCAATTCTGATGTATTCTAGTGGATATTGATCAGTCTTAAAATGAATGAAACAAAATGCACTAATATTTACTGGAATTTTCTTGAGTCTAACGAAGTCAGCTGAATTCTACTATGTTTTGGAATCTAAATGATGACTGATTTTCTTTTCTTGATCATATTCTCAAATGCTCATAAATTCTGATCAATTCATCTTGATTTTAACAAAATAAATTAAAGCCGCCTTTTCCTCTTAGCTGTTATACTGTTTCAAAATACTTACCATAAATACATGATTAGAATAAATTAAATCTAAATAACTCTTTAAAGAATCAAATCTGAATTCACCTTCATTTAAATGTAAATTGATATTTTGATTATAATTTTTTGATGCAGTAACAGATGGTAAAGAACCTGATAAGTTTATTCTGAAAAAATCATAAGCATTGGGTCCAGCTAATATATTGAAAATTGATGCAATTTGTTGAGATGTCGATATGAATCAATCAAAGTAAGAAAAAGTTGCTAACTACGTATTCGAGCCAGAAGATAAAATGTATGCGTAAGATTTAATCATCAATCATTATCACCATCATTGTTGAATATGTTTTTCGCGTTCATCCAAGAGCAATTATTCATCATTTGAGTCTATGGGCTTTTTTATTTCAAACTGAATTCCAAAATCAAAAAACCCACACCAATTTCTTCCGAATCAAACTTTTCTCGCTTGATACTACGTAGTCTCACTAAAAACCCTTAGTCCCTCCTAGTCCTGCAAAGTCCCCCTTAGTCCCCCCCACAAAAAGCTTAGTCCCCGCTTAGTCCCCTGTGCAGGGGACTAAAGCCTATAGTACACAAAACCACAAGCACACCCTCACCCTCACTCGCGCGCCCACACCCGCACCATGGGTGTGGGTGTGTGTGTGGGTCCCAGACCAACACCCACACTCTCAGTCACCTCCCTCCCTCACTCCTAGACTCACGTTTCAGTTTGAAATCAAGTATTATTTTTATTTGATAAATTCAGACTGAAATTAAATAGCCCATAGTATGCATCATTTTTACCTCCATGAGTTATAAGGAAAAAATAATTCGTTCAAAGAACACGACGAAAAAGTAATTTCATCATATTTAAAAATGAAAGAGAAGGACAGTAACACGGTTATGGTGCAATTACTTTTATGAGACAATAGTTACTCTTTAAATGAGATATTTCGTAATTTCATTTCGGCAGACTTATGCAGACAAAAAATTGTAAAGAACTGCTAGTGGATGGATTCGAACCATCAATTCTCGGATTAAAAACCGGATGCGTAAGCCTTTACACCACAAGAGCACATGTATTACAGAGTTTGGCATTGAGAGTTAATGTATATTTTTATCTAAATACTGATACCAAGCTTCATCCCCGACATCACAACCTATTAGTATATTGCAATGTTATTTCTTGTATTGATTTGCAAACATGTTCTATCATTCGTCCTATCTCATCTGTTAGTTCATGTCTAAATTCAATCGAAACTAAGTCCACAGATTAATAGAAAGCTAACATGTCATCAAGAATATTCCTAAAACTCTGTCAACACTTGTGCCTTTGTGGCGTAAATGGCTAACGCATCCGGCTCTTAACCGGAGGATTGACGGTTGCATATTGTTCATCAATAACGATTCTCGATGGTTCTTTTCGTCATCGATAGGGTAGAAAGCAATGATACATTGTTCTCCTCATTCTTGAAGTATCTATTCGAGTCCGTCCAAGGGCAGTTCTCAATTTTTTTTCGTGAGTAATGATGAAATACTTCATTGAGAGAACGAACCAAACTAGAAATTCCATCATATATGCATTAGTGCTTCCCTTGTCCCGTCAAATATTATGGTTGTAACATTCTGACAAACGTATATATAATAAGAAAATATTCGTAGATTGATTGAAAGAAAAATTCTTGGATTAATGAAAATCATGGCGGATGATTAAGTCTTATTAAGAAGGACGATCAAGAATAGCAATCAATGAACAAAATCAAACCATCAATTCTCGTATTAAAAGTCAAATACGTTATCATTTACACAACAAGAGTACGAATGCTCACAGAATTTGTTTTTGAAATATATTCAAGCAGGCAACATTCTAATCCTATCGTTTTTTTTTACAAAGCTATTATAAAACAAAAACAATTGGCTGAAATATTGCCTTGATAAGAGTTTCAGAATCACGTCATCAATGCAGTTTTTGAGCTTAGGGGTGGCGGCTTAATATTAGTGTTAAGAAAATGCTAATACTTTTGTATTAAAATAAATAATTCATTTAATACTTTTGCGTTAGTGTTAAAAAAATAATTTATTGCTTTGGTATTAGTGTTAATTTTGTATTAAGAAAATGCTAATACCTATCATGTTTGTGCAATTCGTTTATAGAAGTGTCATTGTAGTTTTATCGCCAGCTTCTCTATAGTTAGATTTGCTTTGTAACATTTCTATACAGGGAAAATGTCATGTATGCACCAGGATGACATCATAGATGTCATAATAGCATTACGCTGGGTATCGAGAGCTAACCGTCAGAAAACCCGAAGAGTAATCAAGTGTATTCACTTTTACGACCTATGATTTACGAAGCCGAGTAATGACTTCATTACCCCTTACACAAACCATACATCCTTAAAGTTGAGTGTTTTGAGTAGTTTTGGTGTATTACCCCGGTGTAATGATCTCGTTACACCAAAACCACTCAAAACGCTCAACTTTAAAGATATATAGTTTATGTCTGGGTAATGAAGTCATTACCCATAACATAACTATGTATCATAGAGGTTGAGCGTTTTGAGTGGTTTTGGTGTGTTACCCCAGTGTAATGACCTCGTTACACCAAAACCACTCAAAACGCTCAACTTTACACATATATAGTTATCCATGTATGTAATCGATGTCATTACACTTGGTGTAATACACCAGAATTCATTCGTATACTCATTTACTTTTTGCTGTTTTGTGGTGGATACCCGGTGTAACGGGATTATGACATCACTCGTTAGATGTCAAAATGACTGAATATGTTTCAATGAAACACACAGAAAATCTTGTTTTCTCATTATCATGATTATTATTCTGTAAACGTTTACTTAGTATGTGCTGCTTCTAAGCGTCTCCACAGTTATAGAGACGTAGGATACAGGGTGTCCCATAAGTTGTGGCAGATTTTTTTAAATCTAATTTTTGATGATAATGAATACAAATTAAACTCAAACTTACACATATGATACGGCTTAACATGTACTTTTATTTCATATATTTTATTTGGATTAGATCATTGAATATACAAGAAAATAAACAAATTCAATGAACATACCCTCAATTGACAAATATCAAAAGTCTGCATTTTTTCGCTACTTTGTTAGTTTTTTCTCCAATTACTATTCCTATGGGAGTAAGTTTTTACAAAAGAAATCACACATTCTGATAGCACTTGAAATTCTCTATGATATTATGTATTAATACAGTGTCTTAAATTTAAGTAGCGAAAAAAATGCAAATTTTTTGGGCTAGTCGATTCGGAGTATATTCATTGTATTCAATTTTATTTCAATCTCTGAATGCAAGAAAATAAGTAAATAGACAGGATGATAGAGGATTTTAAGCTCTATCAGAATCTATAGTTACTTTCTCAAAAAGATCATTCTATACGGATGAAAAATTTTTAAAACTAGTTTTGATGACGAAGAAAACATCAAGTCTGGGAATCTGGACATGAGGGTGCCTTCGTTGTCTTCAATTTATTTTGGTAATGAAAAGGTCAAAACTAAAACCTAATTCTACGGAGTGATAGAAAACTCCGTGGGCTTTCAGAATATGTAATTAGTTTCAAAATAACTTATTTTTATAGTGACAATATATGAGAAATACAGAGTGAAACTTTTTTTGTCGGGGTATATATATTGTAACACATTGATGGTGTGCTTATTCTGCATATGTACCAATTTCTTTATTTTTTTTGTATATCCAATGATTTAATCCAAATAAAATATACGAAATAAAAGTACATGTTAAGTTGTATGATACGTGTAAGTTTGAGTTTTATTTGTATTCATTATCATCAAAAATTAGATTTAAAAAAATCTGCCACAACTTATGGGACACCCTGTATCTTGGGCCTGGATTCGAGTATTCCGTAACTGGATTCGCTCACAGTTGGGACCAACGACTAAACTCTGCGGACCAAGATAGAACTCAACGGGCTCTATCGAATGCACTACTTACTTTTGCTCCAGTACCATCCGAAGTGACAGAAAAGCCTAGAATACTATAAGAAAACAAGCAAAAAATCAGATTGTTTTTGAGCAACGTACAACGATTCGCTCATAGGTCGGACCAAAATTTGAGAACCGTACAGGCAGATAGAACTCGACAAGTTCTATTTGGTGGACACCCTTCCAAGTGTTTTAGGTGCTTCGATCCTCCCCCTTGAAACCCCAATATACTGAGAAATCCTAGGTTTTCTCGGAGGGTGTGGGTGTAGGTGCGGGAGTGGATGTGGGAGCGGGTGTGGGTGTGGGTGCGGGTCCAACGCTTCTATTAAAACCAACATCTACACCCACACCCCGTTATAAAGACTTGATGAAAAAGCAGTATTACTTGAAGGGTTCTCGGATAGAGATATGGATTTGCACTTTCGAAGGAGGTTCAAGCATAAAATGGAGAAAGAAAAGGTGCTCATTCGATAGAACTCAACGAATTCTATTTACCTACGCAAATTTCAGGTTTTGGTCTCAGCTGGCGGCGAATCCTGAGCAGTTGACTGAGAATAACCAGGATTTCCGAGTATATTGGAGTTTTGGGAAAATGGAAGTACTTAGAATACCTTAAAAGATGACCATTGGATAGAGCTCGTCGAGTTCTATGTACCTATTTCATTTTTGATGTTTTGGTTTCAGGTGTGGGCGAATCCCGGGCGGTTTTCCGAGAAAACCAGGATTTCTGAGTATATTGGGGTTTCAAGGGGGAGAATCGAAGTACCTAAAACACTTGAAAGGGTGTCCACCAAATAGAACTCGTCGAGTTCTATCTGCCTGTACGGTTCTCAAATTTTGGTCCGACCTATGAGCGAATCGTTGTACGTTGCTCAAAAACAATCTGATTTTTTGCTTGTTTTCTTATAGTATTCTAGGCTTTTCTGTCACTTCGGATGGTACTGGAGCAAAAGTAAGTAGTGCATTCGATAGAGCCCGTTGAGTTCTATCTTGGTCCGCAGAGTTTAGTCGTTGGTCCCAACTGTGAGCGAATCCAGTTACG